TAACAGCTTCATCAGGACATGATTGGCAGAGGCTGTGTCGATGCTCTCCCGGACCACTTTTGCTATATTCAGTGTGTGTTTGTGAGCAGTGTTATCACAGTGATCTAAAGTGGAGGTCCTTTTTCTAACTTTAGCCGGTCCTCTGGGACAAGCAGCTCTGCGCTGCCTTTTGACCTGTTCTCTGTTTGCCTTGGTCGGGCACAAGAATTTGCCTCAACCTCTCATGCCCACTGCCAGCCTGCCTGGCACCACCACATTTATTTTTGTTCTTTACAAATTGAACCTTTGCTTTATCCTTATTGACACATTCCAAGACTGAAGGGAGCCCAACTGCATTCAAAAAACAGGAGCACAAAAAAAATAGTGTTCCTGAAATTAAGATGAAGACAAGTCAGAGAAGTGGGGGAAAAAGACACAACAGAGGCAGCAGATTAAAATGTGTTGCATTTTTATTTTAAAAAAAAGTCATTAAATATTCAAAATCATCTCCTTTCTCAGAGAAAAATAATAGCTGTGTGATTTCTAGTTAGATATGATAAAAAAAAAAAATCATTGCATGATAAACTTGAATACATTTACCCGTGAACAGAGAAGAGTCTTACCAGCAAGAAGAAAACAAAAACAAGAAAGGAAAAGATAAAAGGTGACATTACACAAGTGTGACCCTCGCTCTGCTAACAGACTGGGGCAGGATGGCTGGGTGTGCATGGAGAGAACTGACTTACTGAGAGGTGAGAGGTTCACTGGCCTTAAGAAGCAGTGAACTACAATGAGGATGTATCTGAATGTCTGACTGATGTAGATGTGCACAGAGCTATCCAAAGAGCAACAGAAGGAAAAGGTTGATTTAAAAAAAGAAGAAAACATTCATTAGTGATTATATTCCCCAAAGTACACTGAATCATAGACTTTTGCTGTGCAATTGGTGAGTCACTGGTGTTCATAAGAAGTTTGGATCAGCTTATAGTTCTTTCTTATATAAATAAGGTTTTTTTATTTTTACGTACTGTACATGATGTCTAGTCAGACACAAAGCTGGCCAGGAAATAATAATAATAATATATAAAAAGACACACAAATATTAGGGAGGGAATAGCTTAAACATATTTTTATGTGTGTCCTCCCCCTTAACATCAAGTCTTTGAATAGATTGGATATAGCACCAACAGGCTGGTTCTAAGATGTTGCTGTCTGTTAGAGGAAGTTTACAGCCGATGTTTTTTATGCTACCAAGCTACTGGGCAAGCATTCTTTGTCGGCGCTCTCTCCACTTTTCAAGTCTTTACACAGGACGCAGGAGAGCATCAGGGCAGGAAGCTCCTCGGGGAGGACCACACCTCCTCCCTCGGACCCCCTACCACTTGTGTGAATGCATATTTGGTGCCGTGTTCACCTTGTGGAAATTTGTTGGCGTACGATCATACAAGCAAGTTTTTTCAAAGAAACAACAACAACAACAACAACAACCAAAAGAAAAGAGAAAAGAAAGAGTTGCATTGAATGGAAAACTTCTAAAGGGGGTGATCTCTAAGTTTGCTGTCAGAAGTCCTGGTGTAGTTTTGTTTCTTTCTTTCTTACATTTTTTTTCTCCTCCTCCATAGGTTAGTATTGTTTTTTGTTGTTGTTGTTTTTCTAACTGTATCACACTCTTTCATCTGACATTACCTAGGAAAGGAATGCAGATGCTGATAGGTCCAATTGTCTTTAACTGCATGCATTGACAAGTAGCAGTGCAGCTAAAGTGCTTTAAGTGCTTGTGCTTGAAGCATGAGGGGCAGCTGGCACCTGTGGCAATGCAAGCCAGTCATACCGGGCTCACCCCAATTAAAAAAAAAAAAACCTACACCAGGTTGCATCACTGACAAGAGAGGAGTACTGGAGGTGGGCAGGGTGCTGGAGAGAGGAAATTAGGCACACGAATAGGACAAACCTTCCAACAGTAGGGGTGAAGACAAGAGAGGTTGGATGGGCTCAGTGAGAAGATGTATGACAGAGGGGCTGAAGGCCAAAGGGGGACATGGATGAAGACAAGAAGAGCAGGGGCACCAAAAAGAAAGATGAGAAGTTAAACTAGCCAAAGTGATCCCTAAAATTGCAGAGCAGCATGCAAGTGCTTAATACTCCTCTGAAAATATGTCTTTCAGATATCAAACGTGAACCTGTTAGCATGACAGGACACTCTGAAGAGCTTGTGACTTGCTATTGCTGCGGGGACTGGCAGCTGCAGTTACCAAAAAAGTATGCAAAATTCCACTAAACATTCCTGCTGTTGCTACATAAGCCATCTTTCCACTGCTCATTCCCATTGTCATTTTCACTTTGGTTGGCTTTTCACATCAACAAAAGAGTTTTTGTATCATTTTCTTCCACTTTTTATGCCAATTTAGTGGATGTTTTTTCAGAAGCTGGTGAAATTCAATTCAATTCAATTCAATTCAATTCAATTCAATTCAATTCAATTCAATTCAATTCAATAGTTGCAAAACACAACAACAGTCACATCAGGCGCTTTATACTCCAAGGTAAAAACCCAACAATAATAAAGGGAAAACCCCCAAAATCAGATGACCCCATATGAGCAAGCACTTGGCAAAAGTGGAAAGGAAAAGTCCCTTTTAACAGGAAGAAACCTTGACCAGAACCAAGCTCGGGAAGGAGCAGCCATCTGCCATGAACACTTGGGGGTGATGGGAGGGAGACAAGACAAAATATATACTGAGTCAGAAAAGCTTTTCCTTCAAAAGCAGTTTATGAAGTTTACAGTGCCATGAAAACTTTTTTTCCCCTGATTTTTGTTTAGTTATTTTGCATTTTAATCACACTTAACAAATTTTAATGTTAGACAGAGATAGCCCTAGTTTTCGAGCATGAACGGTCTGTTTAAGGTCACGCCAAAGCATCTTAATCAGACTAGACCTCGACTAGTCCACTGTTTTCTTGAGCCATGCAGAGGTGGACTTGCTGGGGTGCCTTGAATTTATTGTATTGCTGCATTACCTAAGTGCCCTTCGGGCTCAAGGCACAAACTGATGGTCGGAAATTCTCATTCAGGATTTTCTAGAAGAGCAGAAATCCCATTACTTTTTTTTTAATATGAATGGCCAAAACAGGAGGTTCTTATCAATATCAAAAGCCGTCAAACTTATGAAAATACAGTTAAAAATCCAAAACTTCTGTTTGTGCTTGTTTATGGTGAGCAGCAAATCAAACAAGATAAGAATTCTAAATCGCTTCAAGGCACATTCTCATTAAGACACTTAGACACTGAGCCACGGCTCTGTGCTACATGCACACATTTCCGCATCTCTGCCATTCAAAGAAACTTTATATATAGGTTATTTTATGTAATATTCAATACTGAACTGCAAATTTAGTCTTTTTCAGAAAAGCAATTTTTTATTCACTGTTTTCCTAAACACCTTATTTTTATACATTTACTATGAGGGAGAATACACATCAGGTTTAAGGCCTGGAAAAGTTTGAAAACTTTTGTTTTCCACAATGGAAAAAAAGAATTGGGATCACCTTAGCCAGCTCCTAATTTTATAAATTCTGCACTCAGGTTTGCGTCTCCAATATCATTGAAATGCACCCAGATGCAGCTAAGTTTGAACAGCTTTTTCCCCTTGCTAAACAAAAACATTATTTGAAAACTGCATTTTGTCTTTCCTTTGGCTATCTGTGTCCAATATTAGAATTCATTTGATGACCTGAAACAATTGTGGGGCGATCGTGGCTCAAAGAGTTAGTAGTTCGTCTTGTAACCGGAAGGTTGCCGGTTCGAGCCGGTCGTTGTGTCCTTGGGCAAGACACTTCACCTACCGCCTACTGGTGATGGCCAGAGGGGCCGATGGCGCGATATGGCAGCCTCGCTTCTGTCAGTCTGCCCCAGGGCAGCTGTGGCTACAACTGTAGCTTGCCTCCACCAGTGTGTGAATATGAGAGTGAATGAATAGTGGAATTGTAAAGCGCTTTGAGGGCCCCGAAAAGCGCTATATAAATGCAATCCATTATTATTATTATTAATTAGGTATGGCAAATATACAAAAAATGGAAGAAGAGAAGGAGAAAATACTGTTTCATGGCACTGTATCAGGATCTTTGTGTATACTGTTTTAGTTACAGCTGCTCTCCTCATCAAAGATGCAAGCCTCAAAATTGTCAAGCACGTTACTCATAAGGTAGCTTTTCAGTGAAGTATTGCTTTATGCTACTGAAGAAGAGGAAGAGCTGAATCTGAAGAGGAGGTAATGAAAGGCTAGTTTTTAAGGCACTGTGGCTGCATGGACTGCCTCCAATCCCTTTGCCCTGCAGGTTAGTAACAAGGAACTAGAAACAGCAAGGCTGCCCCCCGAGCTGCACTAAAAAGTTAAAGCCCTACCATCTAATATTTTATAATCCTTCACTTAATAATGGACCCTGAGCCAGAGTGCTATGTTTTTTCTGCATTGTTTAATGGAGCAGGGCCTGGGGATGGGTAGTCAGACATCTCTAAACTGAGTTTAGTGACATGCAGTATTTACACAAACAAACACACAAACTCACACACCACTTGCGTGCAGACATGCAGCTGTGCATGCATGTTACACAGCCACACACACACGTAGTTACTAACTGGCAGATGGGCACACAAACACAAACAAACAAACAAACAAACAAACAATGGCGTTGGTTTTTTAAGAGGTGGGGGTGCAGGTCACAGTCACAAACAACTCCTCTTTAAAGTGAGTGGAAAAATCCCTCCTTCCTCTCTCTAAAAGAATAGTGCAGTTGACGGGTCCCCCTCCCCTCCCCAGCTTTCAGCTTAAACCTTTATTTTAAAAAAAGGACAGAGGTGGTTCCCCCTAGCACAGGACAGATAGCTGTGATGGACAGAAGGCTGTGTGCTATCCTTTACCCCTCCCCCTCACCTTCCCC